TTTCTCTAATAACACTATTTTTCACTCGATCACACAATTTTAGTCCACACATACTTCTTAGGGCTCTCATTTCCACCGCATTAATCCTGCTTTCATGCTTCTTCTGCCACACCCATGATTCACTACCATACATAAGCGTTGGTGTCAATACACACTGCATTACAGCAAGTCGAGCTTTGCTGGATATTATTTTACTCGACATGACAGAGTGTAAAGCACCATTAACACTATTTCCCGCTTTCACTCTCCTTTCAATATCCCCGTCACACTTTCCATCTCTCATAAATAGTGATCCCAGATACACAAATACATTCACTACTTTTATTTATACCTATAAAAATAGCAATCAAATCTTTTGGCTACCGCCAGCAAATCGATCTACTCAGTTAAAGCACGCCTTTTTATCCCCGAAGGGGTAGGCAGAGGTGCACATTGCGACACTTAATGCCACTGGGTAATGTGATACCCACTTTTCACTATTTATGTTATGAGTCCCATACACCGGGCACAATTCCAGACTCCGTGCTACTACTGAGATTTTTTTTTAAAAAACCCAGTAATACTTTTCCCGACCCGGGAATCGAACCCGAGACCCCTTGCTGACAGTCGCACTGGCAACTCGGCCAATGAGACAGTTTACTAAGTAATAGGTTAAAATGGGGGGCAAGTACGACATTTGACTTGGTAATGGGGGTAATTTAATTACACTTACTTGCATGCTAGTTGTGATATTATTAGCCCCAGGCGACCAGTCAGGATCTTTTCCTGGTTTAGTACATAATTTTCTGTACCACGCCGGATAACCGGGCAAATACGGCCTCTTTACGGGTAAATGTTCACCAAATTCGAATAGATACTCAAACTCCTTGCTAAGTTCTTTAATTTTTTCCTCATTCTGTTCCGTGGAACAATTTTGAAAATCTTCTAAACACCGAATGTATTCTTCATTTAAAACTTCAAATTTTGATAGGTCTGGTTTTGGCATATTTTCATAAGACGATTTTTGTAAATCGGATATTTTCTCTTCTAATTTATTAGTTTGATGTTCCTCAACTTTTTTTCCTTTTGTAACCTTTTTCTTTTTTGTATTTATCTTTTTTAGCTTTAGATTCTGGACTGACCAGTCTTGGTCCCACATCCACAAATCCTTTTTGTAAGAATTGTCATTGAGCATACTGCAAGCTTCATCGGCTTTCATAGACAATACTTGTCTAGATTCCAATTTCAAATCTTCGAAAACTGTTTCTGCTGAGTCAATGTATTGGAGCCAGTTTGAGTTGACTGGCAGGTAGGCTGATCCTGTTAAACGAATATGAGCTTTATGTCATTAAAAATAGAGCTGTATACTTATTAAGTTTCGTAAAATACTATTATCAAGAGTATCGTTACTCTCTTGTAGCTCAAACACCTAGAAGTTCAATTCCTGGACCAAGGAAAGTTGCACAACTTCCAGAATTAATATTTAAAGACTGCCTCGTCGGTTGAGTGGTCAAAAACTCTATTACTGAGAACTGCATCTCAGGATCGACTCTCAGGTCGGGCAAAGGACTTTTGAGATTCTCGGTTTTCGAAAATTCTTAACAGAAAACTGAACCAATTTTTGTGACTAAAATGACAAGTCCGTTAACGATTAGACGGATCACCTGATGGTAAGCAATCAGCTCCGACCATGGACACCCACAACAAGAAAAGAGTCCCAAGTGCGTTGACAGCATTCTGAGAAGCTTTTACTTTACACTACAATAATAAGAGCTTACCTAATTCCAGCATACCAGCTAAAGTGACAGGATGAGGGAACCGGTGTAAGAATAAAGGCAGTAGTTCCTTCAACACTTCATGGGTAGCCACTACATCATTGGCGCAATACTGCATCAACTCTTGAAAGTTCTCGTGCACGTCTTCCATGGTCCCGTCCACGAATATGTCTCGAGTTTGTTTGTCCACAGGTGTACCGCAGTAGAGTTTGTGGACCTATGAAAATAAATTATTTACTTACAACTTTACCTTTACCTAAATTCATAATGAATTGTTAAGGGGCGCTGAGATAACTGAATCGTGCAGGCCTGGGTGATACCACCGGTCAGGCTTGCCGACATTGACGATGAGGCCAAGTAGCTTCAGGACGCCATGTCCAGGATTTGTGACGTGGCGATGCCCCGGTTCCGCTCGGGTCAACGAAAGCGCCAGGTGTACTGGTGGTCGCAAGAGAAGTAAAGTTACACAACTGTCAGTATCAATATTTAAAGACTGCCTCATTGGCAGAGTGGTCGCAACTGCGACTGCCGGGCAAGGGATTTCGGGTTCGTTAAACGGGTCGGGCAAAGTATTACTGGATACTCAGTTTAAAAAATCTCAGTAGTAGCACGGAGTCAGGAAATTTGTCCGGTATATGGCAATAGGCACACCCCTATTCTCGTGTGAGAAGAGGTTTTGCTCAGCAGTGGGCATTTATAGGCTGTTGATGATGATGATGAATTAAACTACACTTACGAAAATAACATTTTTTACAAATTTTTTCCGTCTGTCTGTTTGCACTGATTAATCTGTGGAATCGCTGGACCGATTTTAACAGGGCTTTGATTGGCAGATAGCTAATGTTCTGAGTAACATAGACTACTTTCATTTTGGGAAATTGAATCATATAAAAAGTTATGTCCTAAAATTCATATAAGGACGAAGTCGCGGGCAACATCTAGTTTCTAAATAAAGATTCTTACCTCACTTAGATTGTTGAGTGAGCTGATCTCGATCCAGTCATCATCAGAAGGGTGGGGCTCCTTGTTCTTGGCTTTCAGTACTGTTCGTTGGTAGCTGGTGACTCCGCTGACGCATGTATGCATTGACATTGTGTCCATGAATCGCACACCTGATCGCATAGGAAATTCACCAAAGAATATAACATAACGCCTGTTTTTGTAAACTTTCGTAAGAGGTATATTTATGTTATACGGCTTACTAACGTTACCATTATCGAAGTAATTCAACTAGTTTCAAATGAGTCTCTCTATTCATAAGTACATATTATTTTATGCCATCATTGGCATTTGTAGCGCAATGCTTATGACTATAAGTCCATAGTGTGGCTTGAACACAGTCATATTAGGTACCTTGGGAATTACGTATTAAGCCACCGGTAGCCTCACTAAAACAGTCGCGAAGAACCTAACGGGTAACCGGGGCTCCGACTCGACGTGCAGGAGAAGGAACGGGGTGGTTTTTAGTCAGTAAGAGTCTGACACTCCCTCCCGCCTCACCCAGGCGGGAGCAGTCATTCGATGATTTTCCCCCCTTAAAAAAAGCCTCACTAAAACAGCCAAGCAAGCGGCGACGCAAGCGTCGCGTTTTGTTCGAACAATATTTGTATTAAAGACGTGAAGTATGTTTCTCCCACATGAAAGTAATCCTATCATTCTACTTCCTACTTCACAACATAGTATAAAACAAAGTCGCTATCCGCCGTCTGTCTGTCCCTATGTATGCTTAGATCTTTAAAACTACGCAACGGATTTTGACGCGGTTTTTTTAATAGATAAAGGATTATTAAGGAAGATTTATATCATATAGCACCCGTGGGAAGCCGGGGCGGAAAGTGAGTTTGTTTGTTCCGCTTTCATGCCGTAACTACTAAACCAATTGCTTTGAAATTTTGCAGACGTAAAGTTAGAAGTCCGGATTAAATAATAGGGTACTATTTATCCCGGAAAAATTTGACATTCCCGAGGGAAAACAAAAATATTGGTATAGATGGCGCTGTGTGTATTGTTATACAACATGAAACGTAATTAACGCACACCCTCAAACACCCCAATTAAAATATTATGTTATAATCATAATACATACACTAAATTTTTAATTTAATATGTATAATGTAACATGCATCCTTACTGGTGTTGTCATAAGGTTTCTTTATTTTGTATTGAATGATAGAATTTGTATGAATACAAATAAAACTGCGATTTTAAAAGTCTTATTGCTTTGACTTACGGTCCATTTCGATTTGTTTTAACAATACAGGGTTAAAATGGCAATAATTTCAGTAGTTTTAATTATTTTTGGGATAAAAAATTACCTATACTAAAAATTTTATAAATCTGATTAACGATTCTGAACAAACTATTTTCAGGATGTGCGTTATTTAAATTACATGTTGCAGATGGCGCTGTATGTTATTAAAACAAGTCAACGTATTACCTACTAATTGGAAATCTCCCGCTTTAATCTATAGCACTACCTACACTTATTCGGTGCAATTTTCAACTCATTTATTTGCTGTTTTATAAGTCAACGTATTACTAATTGGTACCTATGTAGTAGTTACGCTACTTAGCGATAGATGGCGCTGGGTGGTTATGAAAACGTTGTAACGTTGTTTTTTAAGTATTTTTCGCCGCGGGTAAAGGCTAGTATATTATAAATGGGATAATATGTATGATTGGTTATTACTCCTTTTCGTCAAAACGGCTGAAGGAATCGGAATGAAAGTTGGAACAGGGACAGGGATAGGTTATAGTGAGGAATAACCACATAGGCTACTTTTTATGCCTCGGGACACAGGCAAAGCCGCTGGTAGAAGATAGTGCATTGTAAATTATACAGGTGATTGAATATTACCTGTCCTATCCAACCAGTACTGTTCCTTAATCTTCGCTCTGTCAAAAGACACATTATGGCCGACCACAATCCTATACCGGTTTAGATCACCAACAGGTTTCCGACCATCTGTCTCCAATGGTATCAAATCATCGTAGTTTATGTTGTCAAATACTTTATGTGGGTCATCATTAGCTAGTGGTTCACTTATCCAGCCATACCTGTAAGAATGGGAAAAAAGGTCGATAATAAACTATGTGAGTATAACTAATGGATTCAAGAGATGTGAGACTAAGCGGACGTGCTTATTGTTGTTATTATAATGAGTCGTTCTTAATTATAAATATTAATTAGTAAAAACTTTTGCACACTTGCAAAAATAAAGTGTGTCGCGTGAAGTGAAGTGTTTGCGAATAACTTTATGTTGCATCTCTGTACACTGTGCAATATGAACTAAGTACTTTTAAAAAGTTATAAATTGTGTTAGTATGTCTAACCCAGGACAAAGCCCTTTTGGGCGTAGCCAATTATTACGACGTAGTCCACCGCCGACGCCATCACCATCTGAACAGCACCACCAGAAAGACCCAGAGCCGTCAGCGTCCACTGAGCCTGTAGTAGAATTGATTTCTACGCCGGAGATCCAGAAATGGCTGACTTCTATTGACGCTTTTATGTCGGAAGTTTGCGGTATTGTCGCAGAAGGAAAAATGAATAACGACCAGAAACTCCGTGTCACAAATTTATGCCGTAAAGTCTCTCATGGGACATCGCAGATAGCGGTACTTTACCAGTCCCTGAAGCAGAAAACAATCCAAGCCCATGTTACCATCCAGCAATTACAAGGACAACAGGAAATTGCAAATTCCCTCCAAGAACTAAAACAAGTTGTAGAAGCTGAACGTAAGTCAGACTGCACTTCCTATGCCAACATGGTAAAAAAAGGAGAGGACAAATTCATACGGCCAGCCAATCTCAGCTCCATTGCTATCTACCCTAATGATAAGACGCAGACCAGTGACGCAACCAAGAGCCTAGTGCAGAAAATTATCTCCCCTGAAGAGATGAAACTTCGTGTCCGCGGGTTGAAGAAAATTAGAAACGGAGGCGTTATTATCAGTGCGGATAGCAAAGGCGATATAGAGAAGCTGAAAACATCAGAAAAACTAGTTTCCTCAGGCCTCAAAGTCGAAGAACCTACTAAACGCCGACCACGTATTGCTGTCATTGGTGTCCCTGTAGCCCTCACTGAATCAGATGTCATGGAGTGCATCTATGAACAGAATCTCTCCGACAAATTGCCGAATACTACCCGTGCGTCCTTTTTAAATGATATTAGACTAAGCCACAAGTCTGGTAAGAAAGATCGTCCTACGTGTAATTATATTATAGAAGTTCCAGCGATAATCAGGAAATTGCTGATTAATCAAGGCCGTATCTTTATAAATTGGACATCATGCCCCGTAAAAGATTTTACAATAGTGACCAGATGTTTCAACTGCCAACAGTTTGGTCATGCAGCCAAGTTTTGCCGCGAAACAAGCCCTACGTGCAACCACTGTGGGGAGATGGGACATTCTTTTAAAGAATGTAACAATAAATCTTCCCCTTCCCAATGTGCAACCTGCAGGCGGTTCAAGCGGAAGTGTGACCATCCAACTGGTGATGTGAACTGCCCGGCACGCAAATATGCAGAAGACAGTTATATTCACACAATAGACTATGAAGGCGCCTAAGAGCGCCACCTATTTTATTTGTAAGTAGCACATAAACAGTAGTCTTAATTTCTATTTTTATCTTAACTTAATTACATCCTAACGATATGACTAATAATCTCCTAAGCGATATTGATAATTTTTCCGTATCTGAATCGATTGTCTGTAATGTTGAAAACTGCAAAAATTTTATTCCTACTAGTGATAAGTTACTAACTTTCCTAACTCAAAATATTCGTAGTATAAGTCGGAATTTTAATGGGTTTGAAGTACTATTACAGAACCTTGATATTAGCTGTGACGTCATTGTACTTACAGAATGCTGGTTATGTAAACAAACAGATAATTTGCCAATGCTGAAGGGTTATACTTTGTATAAAACTGCAATGAATATCAACCAAAATGATGGTCTGGTTGTATACATTAAAAATACCCTTACAGTATCAGTGCACGAACCCTTGTTTCAAGGCTGTAATAGTCTTTTAATTAAAATTAACCAAGATACAATAGTTTTAGCTGTATATAGGCCACCATCTCAAAATGTAGATATATTTATAGAATCGCTTAGTACTATTTTAGAACAACTTTCATGTTATAGTAATATTATACTGTTAGGTGACATAAACATAAATATTGCTTCTGGGAAAACTAACACTCATGCGCATAACTACCTGAATATCTGTACATTCCACGGACTATTGCCAGCCCATGATCACCCTACACACCAGAGTGGTTCATGCTTAGATCACATAATTATAAAATCTAAATTGCCCTCTAAAACTTACATTACTAATTCATCGCTTACAGATCACCACGCAATATTGCTAACTCTACAAATTTCATTACCTAGAAAAAACTGCATGCGTAGCATAACAAAACTAAATATGTTAGCACTTGAAAATGACATACGCGGCTTAAACCTTGACCCTGTTTACTGTTCCAATGATCCAAATATTAGTCTGCAGTATTTTATTGATTCATTACAAAAAATTATTAATAAGAATACTTCTAATAAAATTCTACCTAGAAAATACTGCAATATTAAGCCGTGGATTACACCCGGCCTGGTCCGTTGCATTCGACATAGGGATAAACTACACCAAAAACTACGACTCGCACCGGATAACGAGATACTTTCTGTTACTTATAAACGGTACAGGAATTTCTGCAATAATCTGTTGAAAAAATTAAAAACCCAATACGACAAAGTTCAAATACAAAAAGCTGGTAAGAATAGTAAACTCATTTGGGAAGTTGTTAAAAATAATACTTTTAGATCAAAGAAATCAGACTCTGCTCTAGAACTTTTAGAAACTGATACAACCCCAATTCTAGCGGCAAATAAAGTGAACAAATATTTTGTTGATATTGGTAAAAATCTAGCTGAAAAAGCTCTATACAGAAATTCCTTTTCGCAAAGTACAACTATGTCACTTACTACCTTAGGTTCGTTTGTGTTACTCGACACTGACGTTAAAGAAATAGTTAGTATTATAGATGGATTAAAGGACTCTTGTGCTGTTGGGTGGGATGACATCCCTAATAATGTACTTAAAAGATTTAAGCACGTAATTGCACCTCCACTAACATATATATTTAACTTATGCTTAACGAACGGTATATTTCCCAATCTTCTTAAAAAGGCCTTAGTAACTCCCGTTTTTAAAGCCGGAGACAAAACTAATATTACCAATTATAGACCTATTGCAGTACTATCAGGCCTTTCTAAGATTTTGGAGAGAATTATTAACGTTAGACTAATTAAATATCTTGAGAACAACAATTTACTCTCCAATCGTCAATTTGGATTCAGATCTAAAAGATCAACTAACCAAGCGGTTCATCAACTCACTAATTATATATGCACAAGTTTGGATAAAGGTATGTACACAATTGGGATCTTCTTAGACCTTGCGAAGGCATTTGACACCATTTCTTCCTCCTTGTTATTCCATAAACTTGAAAAAATTGGTATAAGAGGAGTACAGCTGAAATTATTCACGGACTATCTTAAAAATCGTCAGCAGTGCGTAAAAATTGGTCAATATAGAAGTTCTGAACTAAAAAACAGTAGTTACGGAATTCCTCAGGGTAGTATATTAGGTCCTACCTTATTCCTAATATATATCAATGACCTATGCAGCTTGACCCTCCAAAATGGTGTTATTATGTCATATGCTGATGACACAGCTCTGGTGTTCACAGGTAAATCAAATGATGAGGTCTATGAATTTGCCCAAAATGGTTTTAATATAGTGTCTAATTGGCTTCATAATAATCTCCTAACATTGAATTCAGATAAAACAAACTACATGTTATTTTCAATGAGAAATACTCACATATCGACTACTAACCTTAACATTTATGCACATAGTTGTCATACGAGCACGACTGCTGACACAGCATGCGCTTGCCCTACATTGGTAAAAACTGACTATATAAAATATCTAGGTGTCACTATTGATGCTAATCTCAATTTCCGAAAACATATTGATACATTATGCACTAGAGTACGAAAATTAATATATGTCTTCAAATACTTGCGCAACATTGCGGACTTTGCCTTAATCCGCCAGGTATATATGGCATTATGTCAATCCATTCTTGCCTACTGTATTAACTCATGGGGTGGTGCTCTAAAAACTATTCTCCTGCCCCTAGAACGTGCCCAAAGAGCAATTCTGAAGGTCGCCACCTTTCGTCCTTTCAAGTTTCCTACTCAACAGCTATACAGGGAATGCAAAGTACTGACAGTACGCCAGTTATTCATCCTTAACGTAGTACTGCTGCAGCATACTGAAATTGGTTTTAGCCCGATATCTTCCGACAAGAGAAGAAAGGATTTAGTTTGCACTAACCCTCAGACGAAACATGCTTTTACTAACAGATTTTATTTGTTTTTAGGACCATATTTATATAACAAACTGAACAGGTTGTTAAAAGTTTATAGTGTAAGTTTATATAAGTGTAATCTAATACTTACAGAATATTTACAGTCCCTCAATTACTCAGAAACGGAAAAATTACTAGAAGTGTTAAAATAAACTGCTTATTTTTAGTGATAAATCTAAATATTAACTAGTATAGTGTTGTTTGTTTCATAATTTAGGACAGGTTGTCCTTGCTTGGTCTTTAAATAATTGTGTAATACGATTTTTATTTATAATTATATCCATCAAATCATTTTTTTGGCATTGATAGCCTGAAACACAGGTTTAAATAAACCTAGTTCGGGTAATCCCTATATATACTTAGAACGTTATTTCCTCGCATGTATATTGTATAAGACTAGATTAAGTAAACTATTACGAGTGTTATTATTAAGACTTTTTATTACTATAAAATCTGAGCGAACTGTAATTCTAAATGTGTTCTATGCTGTTTTTAATAAATTTTATTTTTTATTTTTTTTTTTTTTTTTTTAATGCTACATGTGAGCACCATGTTAGACTAAGATTTTTTTTTGTTTAGTTTTTTTTTATACTAGGAATTTTTGTGATTAGTATAATGCGTCAAGCGTATCTTTGCATCGTTCTCACATATAGGTACAGTATTGAAATATGTGTCAAATTCATTGTAGAACATACTATTTTAAAAAGAGTAACGAATGGAGTTTCTTGCTCGTTCTTCTCCATTCGAATCTACATTTTGGAATGAGCACCTAGCTTCACTGACGGACTGACGTTTCAAAAGTACCAAATTATGGATTAATTGAAGCAAATACTATAAAATAAAATAAAAAATAAGAATAATAGAATATTTCACTGAACTGAACAATAGAAAGAATAATTGTTCAGTTCAGTCACGACTGCACGGTTGGCGCGGTGGTTGAGCAGCTGGCTGCTGCGTAACGTGTCGTGCGTTCGATTCCCGCACAGAATAACTCTTTGTGTGATCCTCAGATTGTTGTTCCGGGTCTGGGTGTCACGTGTATGTGAAATTGTATGTTTGTAAACGCACCCACGACACAGGAGAAATTCCTAGTGCGGGCAACGATTTTATATAAATTTATTTTGGACCCCAGTGTGCTTCGAAATTATTTGAGCATCCACGAACATATTTTTTAAAATTAATTTTTAATATTATGATTCTCTTTCAAGTTGTGGGTGCGTTACATACATATTACATTTTACATTCACTCCACATCCAGACCAACAACAACATATTTATGTATTACATGAAGTATTGTTCCATGCAGGAATCGAACATGTGATATGTTGCATATCAGTCAGTTGCTCAGTCATTGCCCAAGTTTATATGAGTTAAGCCATATAGATTTGCATGTTTTATGCTCTGCTTTCAAAGCATTGAACTTATTAATTAAACTAAAGAGAACTTATTAGAATTTTAATTAATACTCACCATGCATCTGTGGACACTGCGCAAGCCAAAGTGGGTCTTTTGCCTGCAGACATAAGGACTTCCACATCAAAGATCAATGCATCATCAGGTGGGCATGGCACTGACTCTTGAGAATCACCAGAATATTTTGTCCAACCAGAAGCTTTGGACCATTTCTATAAAAATTAAGCAATATAGGTATTTATTCTAGTGATGTGAAGTATTATTTCTATTTTACTATGTAACAAATGGCCATAGGTTCTCGCCCGTGATATGATGAGATATCCAACTAAAACTGGTGAAAATTGACCACCTATCAGGAATACATATAAGTATTAAACCAATTTTAGTTTTTTTTATGACATGAGAATGATGTGCAGGCAGATTAGCTGATGGTGACATGCAATCAGCGCTACCCATGAGTAATGGAGCCCAACGTATATTTACTCACCAGATGGCGCTGTGTAAACCTCTTGTTCTCTCGTCCAATAGGAAATTAGCTAGTGTCACCCCATTGGACGTTCAATATTTGATAGCTGCTGTGATTGGAAATAAAATGTCCTTCGACATTTGCGCCATGTGGTGAGCATAACAACGATAGCCCCCATTTTTTTAGGGAATAGGAGGTGAACGAGCAGACCGATCACCTGATGGTAAGCAATCAGTGGCGAGTTAGCGACCATGGACACCAATAATACCAGAGGAGTCACAGGTGCGTTGCCCGCCTTGTAAAAAGAAATATACTCTTTTCTTAAAGGTTGTATGGATTCGGAAATACCGCTGATGACAGATCATTTCACAGTTTCCTCATTGAGCATATTCAACACCGAGGTGGCTACAAGCTACAAGACTTAAGCTGCCTGCCTTCTAGGGAAGGGAGGATGGTATTTCAACTAATATAGGTACTAGAAATAAAAGTACTCACCTTTGGTATTTGTGGTAACTCACAGGTAGCCAACCTCTTTAGTAATTCTCTGTATGGAGCACTCTGCTGTTCTCCGATATTGTAAAAATGTTTCACAACATCATTTCCTTCTAGTTTAGGCAGTTTTAACTGCACATCTGGTAGATGGCTGCATTTTTTATAATCTATGCCATGCTTTAGAAGACTGTCTTGACAACTGGAGAGTTGAAATAGAAACTTGGTTGATGAAAACTTTTTTTTATGTTAAATTTTTGTGAATAATAATACCTATACCGTGAATACTTAACTCGTCGAGTACCGTCAATATAGACACAATTATAGAACAATAGGTTGCGGTCACCGGTGACCGCTTGGTGTTTGACAGTTTAAAAAAAAATTAAGTATATTAAATGTGAATTATTACTTACTGTACACCAAAATGAAAAAAATACAATGCAGTATTGTTCACTATTAGTATTTCAAAGTAGTATTGTATAACAACAAAATCTCTAAAGCTTTCGGTTTATTTACTTATTTTAAATTAAATAAATTCAACAACCATTTATTTATGTACCTACTGATTTTTCTTCAAAATTATTAGCATTCAAATCAAATTATTGAATACTGTACATCTGTGAAATATAATGTATACAAACAGAATACCTGACAATACTAACACAATGTTTTGTTTACCTTTTTATCACTTGTGGATCCACTCTCTGAGTAGGTTTTTTAAACAGTTGCTCATAGATATTTCTAGATATCATTTGTATATTGACTTCATTAACTCTAAATTCTTCTGAACTACTTGAAATAATATTATCTTCTTCTTTTTGAACATTTTCTTTTTTCGTAATTTTGTCCTTTTTGAGGTTAACGTTTTCATTTTTATCGCGTTTCTTTTTTATTATAACTACTTCGCTGGAAGGTAATATATCACCATAGAATCTGTGAATAGAAATCCGTAATTTATTAGTATTTTCACGGAATAATCTAGCAGTTCTCATTCTAATAATCTAATTGGTTTATTCCAAAACAAACATTCGCGCGATTAGCGAAGCGAACCTTTCTTTGACAGTTGACAATTTGAAGAGATTGACACTAATGGTCGTGTTCAGAAACGATAAATTGGTTATTTTTTTTAGAACGCAGGTACTTCGTTTTGAAATAAGATTAAAATATTTTATCAAATTAGATTCTGATAGTACCACTGATGAATCATCTTCTTGAAAACTCAGATAAGATCACATTTAGTCGTCATCACAATACTGTGCTAATTTTTATACTAGACAGGAAATCCATTGGCGCTAAATCTATTTAGAAAAGGTGTCTAATATGTTGATCCATTTGTATTATAGAATTATAATATGAAATGTGCGCTCCATGTAGCTATCTAGAATACAGCATTCCAGATTCTCTAGGAAAGCAAAAAGAAAACTTCTCTTTAGTAGTAGATCACTCTCAACTACTCTCAAGACAACACGGTTAGTACCACGCGACGTGTCGCCGGTTCGATTCCCGCACGAAGCAACTCTTTGTGTAATCCACAAATTGTTGTTCCGGGTCTGGGTGTCATGTTTATGTGAACTTGTTTATTTGTAAAATGTACGTTTGGGTACATTTTACAAATAAACAAGTTTAGAAGATCCTAGAGTGGGGCAACGTTTTTTTAAAAATAATAATTCTCTGTGATTCAATAACATTAGGATATTAGAAATCAATAAGTAACTATATCACATAAATAAAGTAGGTATCCATATTTAAAATTAGTCTAATCAACATCAGAATGTGGTTTAGATTCATTTTCGTAGAGGAATTTCAACTCATTATTTAGTGACAGTACCTATTATCAATCTAGTCAGGTAGGTAAAGCACAATACTAAACGTTTTCTTATAAAATTAATATTACCATCGAATTTATATATCAAAAATCCCAAAAGCATCACTCTCGAATCACTTGTGTATATGTTCCAAAGAGTTAGTAGTAATATTGACTCTAGAAATAAAAATAAATACTTTGATTCTGAAGAATATTAATTTATTTTAGTCAAAACAAATACATAATAATACTACATAATTTTTTAAAACCTATAATTATTAATAATGCAAAATAGACAACTTGTATATAACATAATATGGTGCTTCTTATATCTATGGAATGTAATAAAAATGATTAGTTAGTTCTTAGTTGATAGTCTCCATTCTGTGTGATATACCGCACCCAAGGCAAAGCCTGATACCCACTCTTCTCAATAATCTTCAAGTACCTTACTTGGATACCAGAAGTAGTAAAGTATGGGATTTCAAACTTGACTTGGATTGGAGGTTTACCATCAACTTCTTCACACTCGACAGATGGTAATCCAAAGTGAGCTCTCATTAAGTACTCTTTGCCTCCAGGGAAGGATTTAATAGACCAGGTGATAGCGTTCTGTTCAGGAGTGTATTTGACACTGCCAATTGTAGTCTTGAATTTTGGAGAGTCAGCATCAGCTGGGACGGGAATTATAATCTCAACATTGTTAGCAGTTGAACGCCTCTTGAACTGAGACTTTGCCTTGATCATATACTCTACCCTAGAGTGGGCATGGCGTTCAATGACAGATTCAATCCAAATCAAAGGCTTGACATGAGTATTCAATCTGTATGACATCAACTCAAACTCTCCATCAGGTGGGATGAAAGAAATTGTCCTGTCATTTTCAAACCGAGACAGTCTGACGCACTGATGGAATTTTACATCTTCAAGCTCCACAGACTTTGATTTGCCTCGCCCTGTACTCTCAAACAAGACTTTATCATTTAGACCAAGACGCAATTCAGGCATACCTGATAAGTACACTCTCATTTTAATGGCACCTACAATCTCACTTCGTAGAACATTGCCATTGCAATTAGCCAACAAGTTAACAGATTCTATGACATCTAAGAATACTTCATTCTTCCTGTACTTAATACCCTCAGACCTCCAAGATACTGCATTTGTTACTGCCATGGGAATACGGGGTTGCATTTCCAATTTGTGGCCTTCCTGGGTTATGTACTCTTGTAGTATCTTGCTGTCAGTTGTTTGTGGGTATCCAAAGTCAATTAGTTCATCTAACAGCTCATAAATGACCACAAAATTGTCCCGGATGCTCTCTTCCTCCAACTCTTTGAAGTATTCAGTCATGACCTCCACAATTTTGTACAAGAATACAAATACAAGTGCTATGTTAGCATTTTTCTTTGTTGTTGATACAATGTACAAGTTGTTGGTTTTGATATAAGCGAAGGTACATTCACTGGTCTGCAATAGAGGAGTCAACATTCCTTCTTCCTCTTTCTCCATAAGTAGTGGCATGAACTTGTCAATGATGCCCAAATCCACATCGCCGCGATAATTCCTCGATATGAGGACTTTACCCTTTACATCTAAGATGTATATTGCGGATGAAGACATCTTGTTGCTGAAAAAGAAAAACCTTAAAGTTGTATGAAGCCAAATAAGAGTTACAATGAACCAAATTTTTTAACTATCACTTCAATCAATCAATAAGTTTTCTTTATTGAAATTAACAAGTGATATCAAGAAACAGATATAATGAAACTAATTAACACTTATACTTACGTCTAATTTCACAATTTTACGAATAAAATATCTACATTATCTTCTGCAAACATACGTGTGAAATAATCTTTTTTTACTAGAAGTTCAGATTTATAGACATTAATAGCATTCCATTGACAACAGAATAGATGTATGTAAAAAACGAGAAAGTGATATTTCATTTATGCTAGAGATGTAGAAAACATCAAATGTTATCTGGAATGCATGATACAGCACGACATCGAATCGAAAAAAACAAGCAAACGAAACAAGGAAAAGAATACTGTACGTAGGTATTAACTTTACAAATCCAACTTTACATAAATAATATTATATAAAACTTTTTCCGGTATCATATATTAATTTTACATAATCTACATATTTTTTTTTATGGCCCAACAAAGTCCTATTTGATTAAAGATGAGGTATTAAAGTGGATTATTTTTACCATAATTATACTGTTTTGGAGAGATACATACTCATAGTCGACATCTACAACAATGATAACGACCAATTTATTTTTATCATTTATTAATTTTAACTTAATTTTATAGTAGTAAAAATTGATTACAAAAATTCACTACTTAGCGACTTAATATTGTCGTTATCAGCGTCGGGGCTTTCTGTGTTCCATAGACTATAGAAATAAACTGGCCCTATTCTATTAGCCAAAATAGCCAATGGCTAATAAGACAACAACCCAACGTCAATGGGAACTCGTAAAGTCATAATCGCAAACTCCATTCTCATGGCGACCTCTCGCGTCCGGGCCTAGTGCAGGCCATGATGCGGAGCGAGGGGGATTGGGATGCCGTCTCCTCCTTTTGCGAAGCAGTCATGCTAGCTAAGGAGGAGGCGGGACGCGTGAGGCAGCGAAGCGCTGCCTCCTCGCAACCCAGCCATCGCGAAGGACACACCGGGCGTCGGGGATCGCGGGACGATCTCCGGCCACCGTAAGCGCGGGCCTGCGGACGGCGAGCATGGGTGGCTCCCCGTCCGACCAGAAACAGACCCGAGCGTACGGCGCGTCGCGTTCCGCGCGCGCCTCAAAGAGCCATCAGACCACCACAGATGGGGCCCAATAGGGCCGATGCCGATTCGGAGTCGCGGAGAACCTAACGGGTAACCGGGGCTCCGGCTCGACGTGCAGGAGAAGGAACGGGGTGGTTTTTAGTCAGTAAGAGTCTGACACTCCCTCCCGCCTCACCCAGGCGGGGGCAGTCATTCGATGATTTTCCCCCCTTAAAAAAAAAAAAAAAAAAAAAAAAAAAAAAAAAAACTCCATTCTCGTTTGTTTGGCTGACTGACAGATGGCTGACTGACGCTTCTATATTAATTTTCTGTTTGTGTTGTCTAGCTGTTGAGCACGGCTACGGACATTAATTTTATTTATAGTACCTCCGTTTTATTGTAAATGTTGTTCGATTCCATATAATATGATTGTGTTGCTATTTCATAGATTCCTTTTGAGGCTTTAATTTTAAATAACACCTATGTGTGTTTAGAGTTTTTTTATGACGAGTGATTATTCTATTCATTCCTTTGCTTTGCCTTTTTGACGGTGGGGATAATTTTTCATTTTCGTAAAAGAGATTAAGTATAGAATGTTTTTATAGTGTTATTGGCTAAATAAATTTGTGCTCGATGTTGATCAATAATATGAATCCTGTTTCCCTGACACAAAGGAATACGCTAGTTTTCTTGGACATTTCTATCGATGGCGAACAAGGTAAGTACCTACCTACTTACGGTATTATCGTAGAAATATTTCATAATTATCTATGTACCTACTTCTTTGTTATGACATGATATCTTGTGATGTAGGTAGAAAACTTGGCATGCGATGCACTATAGACTTGGACTACCTCAACATAAATTATAGTCGGGTCTATTTTTACGACGAGTAAATATCAACTGATAGTGTTTGTACACAAAATGTTCAGCATTCTGTTCGAACGGAATTGCTTTTTGTTTTCTAATAAGATGTAGTGGAAAATTTCTTGCAGTAACAATATAAGTATAGGTAAGAATTTATTTTATTATATATAGTAAGTGCTTACATAATTTAAATTGTATGTAAATAATTGCATAGATAAATACAACAACCTTGTGAATGCAGATTATCTGTTAGTCAGTATCAGTGTGATAAATGTTTTAAGTGGATTGTAACATAAAATTGTAATGTAAGAAATAAATGTTCAATGATCACTAATAATACTAAACCCCAACAATAAAGACATCTTCAATCTTAAATATATCGGTCATGTGAAAGTCACGATTGAAGCACCTTACAAATGCCAGAGATTTGGGCACTCAAAAAATCTATGTTTTCAACCATTTGGATGTGTAAAATGTGGGTGTACTAAAACTCCGGAGACAGAACCTAGATGTGTTAATTGCCATGGCAAACTTCCGCAAGCTATAAGGGATGTTTGCCATAATACAGAGAATACAAAGAAAAGATACTTAAATGAAACCTAAATCCAACAACCTACAGGTCAAGAATACAAAAGAACCAGATCAAACAACCAAACACAACATGAATGAAACCTTCAAAACATCCTTACCCAAGAGAAGTTATTCAGACAATTTCAAGAAATGGTCAGTGAAACCATAGATTTAAAAATTAAAGTAAAATCACCTGAGGACCTAGAAATAAGCATTCAAAAATTCAATATGGCCATTCTTACTACCGCCTGCCTAACTACACCTACACAAAAAAAACACTAAATTAAAACTGAAAAACTGCACCCAAGTAATAAGAGACTAAGTCCAAGAAAGGCGAAAATTGAGGAAAGAATGGCAACAAACAAGGTTGAAGGATTCAGATAAAACCAAGTTCAATAAAATTGCAGAATAATTAAAGTTACTTATCAAAGATCTGGAGAATCACACAGTGCAGAGTAAATTTGCCCATTTAACTCCCCATAAAGACACCAAGTATTCACTTTGGTGCGCAACAAAGAAATTGAAGCGGCCAGATATCCAGGTTCCACCAAAGGAAACAGGACACACACAGGGACTAGGCTAGATCTGATCTACAAAAAGCAACAGTATTTGCTGAATATCTTCAGAGTGTCTTCAAACCTTTCCCCAGTAATAACCCAGAAAATGATAAAGAAATTACAACCGATTTAAAATCTCCTTACTAGCTTGTGCATTTATTAGCCAATAAGTCCTAAAGAGATAGATAAGACAATTATGGCTCTGAAATCTGGAAAAGCTCCTGGTCATATCCAGGATCCTTATAGACTCTACACTAATGAAAAACCTGCCGAGAAAAGGAATAATCTACTTAGTAAACATTTTGAATGCCTGCCTGAGACTAACATTATCCAAGCCAGTGGAAGATTGCTCAAGTTGTTATGATCCCTAAACCTGGCAAACCAGTACTACCTGGTACCGTCGAGTAAGCACAGTGGAAGATACTATCAGTCATACAATTGAAACCAAGCAATATTGCTCGGCTGCATTCTTGGATATTAGTCAAACCTTTGACAAGATCTGGCAAGAGTGTCTACTGTACGAAATCAAGAAGTCTCTGCCACACTCCTTTTTTCCAATACTTGAGAGTTACCTAAGCAAAAGGTGCTATGAAGTCAAATTCAATGGTGAGACATCAGAATCGGACGAAATACAATCAGGAGTTCCACAGGGCAGCATACTGGGGCCTGTTTTGTATCTTCTATTTACTGCAGATGTACCTACAAACGCACATACCACCATGGCCACCTATGCGGATGACACTGTAATTCTGGCAGTGGATAAGGATCCAGATATTGCTTCGGAAACCCTGCAAAATCAGCTTAATGAAGTCGAAATATGGCTGAAACAATGGAGAATAAAGGCTAATCAAACCAAGTCAATCCATGTCACTTTTACCTTAAGAAAAGGAAACTGCCCTCCTGTTCTACTTAATGGCGAACAAATACCGCAAGATGAAACTGCTAAATATCTTGGCATGCATCTCGACTCAAGATTAACTTGGAGGAAACACATCTGGACCAAAAGAAAACAGCTCGACACAACTCTTCGAAATATGTAATGGTTGATCGGTAAAAACTCTAAACTATCTAAAAGAGCAAAATGGCAGTATACAAGGCTATCCTGAAACCTGTCTGGACATCCGGTATTGTGCTCTGGGGAACAGCAAGTACCAGCAATATAGAAATTTTGAAAAGGTTTCAAATGAAGGTAATGAGATACATACATACAATATACCCAGAAGCACTAACAACAAATACATTTTACAAGACCTTAAGCTAAAAACTGTGAAAGACGAAATTTCTCAAACTATCAAAAAAAGTTATCTAAGCATGTCAATGCCCTTGCTACTAAGTTATCGGGATCTGGAAGTATCCAATTTGCAAGACTGAAGAGGAGCAGTGTACCTAACCTCATAGACTGATCCAACAGCCAGTAGGAAGAGAAATTCATTGGATACTTCTCTTCAATACAATATGCCACACTCAGACAATAAGTCAGCCAAAAAAGCGGTTAAATGTTTTATAAGCAGATTGCTGTGTTGCAGGATAGAAAATAGAGAAAAAAAAATAATACTTATTATGCTAACTGGACACTAAACAAATAGTGGGTGACCAACTAATGAGTTTGCGTAACAATTTTAATTATCTCTGGCAGTCATAGTTCACTTGTGTTTGTGTTACATTGTCATAAAGAACTGGTATTAATGTAGGACCTAATTTCATTTCATTGTATACTCTTTCTATTCTATGCTTTCTATTTATAAATATATTTTTATGGGTAGCTGTGCACCCCACACAAAAGTTAATAAGTTTTCCCATTTTTGAATTTCAAGTTGTGAGTAGGTATCAAATCAAATCACTTTTATTTGTTAACATAGGTGCATACAAATTACATATTATGTTGGTTCAATTAAATTAGGTATGTAACAGCACTATAATTTCACATGCAAATCATTTTGCTGACGAGGGGAACCTTCAAAATGCACCTAGCTTTTTGAGGAAAAAGACTAGGGGCTGTGTCATTCTTACCTCACCAAAACCTCCCCGGTGGCCGCCACATGAAAGAGGCACCGGGTACTCATAGTAGACCAGCCCCAGAGCTCCTACGGTGCAACGCTTGTTACAGCACCTTTCTATGGAGACATATTTGTCTACGTAGAGCCTCTCTGTGCAGTGCAAACGGCATGTGACCACTGTGCCACAGTCTTCCTTGAGGAACATACTCTCAAACCTAGAACAACCATTTGTGGAACACACAAAGAATTGTTCTGTGCCAGAGTTGCAACCTTTTGTTATATATAGTGTGGCAGCTAATTACCCAACCATTGCACCTTATATGCAATTGTGTTGTTGCATTGTAATTAGTAAAAGTAACAAATTATAATCGATAACCATAAATATGTGATTTAACTGTTCAATCTCTAACCGGTCACCGGTGACCGCTCTCCACTAACTCAATTATAGACCTTATTTCCGATGTTTAAATACTTTTGTATGAACAAATTTTGTATACGATATATCAACATCAACACATTAATTAATTATTACAGACTTATGCAGCCGGGCTCACTATTATTACGAACAATTATTACGATTACCTGCTTATTCTAAATATTAATGCTAGACATACATGCCTACATAAACAAACTTGTTTTAATTAAGAAAATTAATCTCTTGTATGCTGTCATATGAGACATAAAAGAAAACATATTGTGTCTCTTGCATACCATGGGTTAAGTCTACTTTAACCTTTTGATGTCCTTTTATTTGTCAACTGATATTCTATGTTTTATGGTATTGTGTTGGTATTCAATAGGTTCAACAGCAAATACATAGTCCATCATAATTAATTACAAACTTCAATAGAGGCAGCTATAATATAGTGTTTAATAAATCATTGCAGAATTTTTCTATTGTATGCCATTGTTTGAATACTATAATAGTTCCTAGTTCTAAGTTAATATTCTCATAGTTGGACTGAATAATCAAGATCATGGGAATCTTTTAGACATATCTTTTTAGTTAGGTAATACGACTTAATCATCTACCAAGAAGTTCAAGAAAGTATTTGAACTTTGGAGCTCATAATAAGTTACCGACGCGGCGACTAGTCAAAGTAAAAGCATTTATTTCAATTAAACCATAATTTGGTACTTTTGAAACATCAACAAATACAAAATAAATAATAGTCTGTCAATCAGTCCGTCAGTGAAGCTAGGTGGTTATTCCAAAATGTAGATTCGAATGGAGAAGAACGAGCAAGAAACTCCATTCGTTAGGTACTCTTTTTAAAAAAGTATGTTCTACAATGTTTCTGATACATATTTCAATGTCTCTGATAAATAGTCGAGCAAATTTCTCAAAATATCTTAAATACCCTTTCTTTAAGTTTGTCAGTACTTACGATTTTTTAGGGCAATGATAAAAAGTATTATCAACAATTTTATTAATGTCAATATCTCAAACTTATCAACAGATACCTAGACTTTTAATTTCAAAATATTAGAAGGTGTGGTTTTTGCTGCAGTTGATTCATTTTGCTTTTATTGTATGGCAGAAAGAACATTCATATTATCAATATCGTAATATGAAAATAATGTTTTTACTTCTATAAGACTCAAGGCTAGAAGCTTACAAGGATTTATTGAAGTTGTATGTATAAAAAATAGGTCAAGCGTATGAAATATCGAACCAATACGCAATGACGCATTCTGTGAATGCAGGACATGACATAATTTATGCACCTAGGTGCTATTCAGTGGCACAAGGTCAAATTGCAGGGCGACATGACGTAGTAATTGCCATTGTGGAGCATAATCATGAAATCAGATGCATTACACATTTATAAGTAAACATGTCAACCTTGTTATTGTCGTTATTTCATTCATGAAGAAAACCGTTTGACATAAAAAATATTTTATGTATTATTTTGTCTTGTTTCAGCTGGACGTATTGTAATAAAATTGAGAAATGATGTAGTGCCAAAAACTGCGGAGAATTTCCGCGCTCTTTGTACAGGCGAAAAGGGAGCTGGGGTTAATGGAAAACCTCTTCATTTTAAAGGCTCAAAGTTTCATAAAGGTCCGTGAAAGATTTTCATTTCTCCATTATATTATCATACAAAAATATTAATTCCTCTTTTCTTGTTTTCAGCTGTTACTCAGTTTATGATACAAGGAGGTGATATTACTAACGGAGATGGTACCGGCGGTGAAAGTATATATGGGCCTACATTTGAAGACGAAAATTTTAAATTAAAGGTAGGTACAGAATTTATAGAATAAAAAAAATACAGTCGAATTGAGAACCTCCTCCTTTTTTTTGAAGTCGATTGAAAATATAGAGCACAATTCATGTAGAGGCCTACTTATTTTGATCTGGGCGACAATGGGTTTTATGATAGACAGCTTATTGGGCTTTTTAGTTTTCGAATACTCTTAACTAGTAAATAAGGTTGCACCCTTTTTGATTAAGACTAAGAAAAAAGTGGTTTTACATTTAAAATGTTCATACATCTTTGTATACAGCAAAAGATGTGGTTTGTGTTATAACTGTAGTGAGAAATACTAAAGAATTTTCAGTGTGGGAGAACCATACTTCGGCACGAATGGGCCAGCTTGACCGGAGTGATACCACGGCCTCACAGAAAACCGACGTGAAGCAACGCTTGCGTTGTGTTTCGTCGTATGAGTGAGGTTACCGGAGGCCCATTTACCCTCCCTTTCCCCAAACTCCCCAATCCCTGAATCCCCAACGATCCTCAAACTCCTAATCCCCAAAAGGCCGGTACGCACTTGTAATGCCTCTGGTGTTCCAGGTGTCCATGGGCGACGCCGATTGCTTACCATCTTGTGATCCGTCTGCTCGTTTACCGGCTTAAGCTTTAACAAAAAAAAAAGAATTACTTATGTTTATCGGTTAACTTCACTCGTCAAATAATTACGTGAGTAAGCCGAAAAACATAATAAAAGAAGTGGGGTTACCTACCTAAATGTAGGTATATAAATCTTGTTTTAGCATGACACGGGGGTGCTTAGTATGGCGAATAGCGGTCGGCCCAATACCAATGGTTCTCAGTTCTGCATCACAACGGTGCCGTGTCCACATTTGGATGGCACCAACGTCGTGTTCGGTGAAGTAATGGCTGGTCTCGGCATTGTGAGAGAAATCCAACGGTACGGCGACGGAGACCTTTGCCGCCCCACGGTGGTATGTTGGTAATCGATGCTTTTTAAAATGTTTCTTTTGTCACTTTTTGAATTAATTTGTAAACCAGTAACGGCTGAAATTAATAACTGAGGGCCTAGTACGAGTTTGTGTACGCTTTTTTTTTAAAACATACAAGTTCACATACACATGACACCCAGACCTGGAACAACAATCTATGGATCACACATAGAGTTCTGTGCGGGAATCGAACCCGCGACACGTTGCGCGGCAGCCGCGCCAACCGTGCAGTCAAGTTTAACAAGAAACGTTACCGCGTTTAGTCCTATCATTGGTTGGTTCATTAATCGAAACGAGACCGTGTTCGTCGCTCTGATTGGCCGGCTCCAATGAACCAACCAATCAGAGCGCCGAACTCGGTTTTGATGCGAGTCCGTTAAACGTAACAACTCATACTAAACCCTTTAATCCTAATCTAAAATCTTTGGGTTGAGTTACCATTAGTTGTATTTAGATTGTGTCAAAAACCCACAACCCATGTTATTAATTATTGTTGTCAGTCAAACTTCAAAAGATTTTCTACTTTATTGTTTGGTATTAAAGTATCTATATTGACATTGAAAACAGTTTTGGCTCGCAATCCGTTTGAATTACGAGTAGACGAATTATTAGATATTTAATATTTATATATACAAAATGAAGTGATAGGGACTTGTTTTCTTTGTTTGCTTATTTAAATTTTATCATTTATTTTTTACCGTTTAACTTTGTTCAAAATATTGTCTAGTAAGAAAACAACATGTTCAATTTGTTAATTACAGGACTGTGTGATTGAAGAATGTGGCGAGATTATAACTAATGAGTGGGATGTAAGCTGTTGCGATGGTACCGGGGACAAGTTGCCCGAGTACCCTGAAGATTACAGGGATGAAAACGTTACTGTAAGTGATTATAATATGTTTACCGGTAATTATAACATAATATAACAATATGCCCTTTATCCCCAAAGGCCCAAAGGGTAGGCAGAGGTGTACATTACGGCTCTTAATGCCACTGTCAATGGTAACACCCACTTTTCGCTATTTATGTATATTTATTTATTTATTGCAAAATGTATATACATAGCGGTATTATACTACTAGTATAGTACATCACCCTGTTAGGGCGCAGCAATTTAACTTATAAATAGTAACTAAATAATAATCTAATATATTATGTACTTATTCTATTCATTATTAACTTAATTACTCACTATAAACTTATTACTATTAAAATTTCTAACTTATTACTATTAAACTGTCAAACACCAAGCGGTCACCGGTGACCGCAACCTATTGTTCTATAATTGTGTCTATAATGACGGTACTCGACGAGTTAAATACTTACATATATACCTATATGATACAATGTTATGAGTCCCATGTAACAGGGGGTGAGCCTATTGCATATACTGGGCACAATTCCTGAATACGTGCTATTACACAGATTTTTTTTTAAAAACCTCAGACTTCTTGTCTGGTTGTCGCAGTTCCGACCACTCGACGAACGAGGCGAGTTAATTAATTGAAATATCATTTGTAATTACAGGTAGAGCAATTAATGGTGTCTATAAGAGATGTGAAGAGCGCCGGTAACAGTTACTTTGGCGAAGCACGTTATAAGGCAGCTGTTAGGAAATACCGCAAGTGCCTAAGGTATTTGGAACACGCGTTTTATAGGATAGATGAAGTCAAAGATGTGGATACAAAGGAACAAAGTAAGTGTCATTAATTATTTATTTATATATTGATATTTGAAGTGTTATTTATAAGCATTATTCAAAAGTGCGTCGGGTTCGATTCCCGGGTCGGGCAAAGTATTACTGAGTTTTTAAAATACTCAGTAGTAGTACGAAGTCTGGAATTGTGCCTGGTATATGGCAATAGGCTCACCCCCTATTACATGGGACTCATAACATAAATAGTGAAAAGTGGGTGTTACATTGGGGGGCGTCCATAAATTACGTGAGATGATTAAGGGGGGGAGGGGGTCGAGTCAAATCTCATCTAATCTCACGCTGGGGAGAGGGGGGGTCTCGATAAATATCACGCAATTTTTTTTTCTGATTGAAACAAAAAAAAAATATACTATTTTGGTCCATTTAATTCAAATTGTATGTACATGCTTAAGATTTAATTTTAAGCGTCATCGTAATACGATTAAGATTAACACACACACACTAATTCATTCGAAAGAAAATAATTTCATTCATATTTCGACGTTATACATCTACTGAATGTCAAACCACCAGATTTATTTTATACCAAATAGCTCAATTTAGTTACGGTACAATGTAATGGTCATATGGACATGTTGGTTCCAATAGTCTCTCTTGAGACCGCGCATAATTCCCCATGGACTGAATTAGAGTAGATATTCTTTTTTTTTTAATCACAGTAGCTAGATTTAAGTATTCTATTGTTAAATTTTTATTACATTTATTACTCTCAGCAATATTGATTACTAGTCTTAACCCATAAATCACCAAGCGGTCACCGGTGACCGCTTTCCACTAATATTACATTACATTATAGACCTTATTTGTAATGTTTAGAGACTACTTTTGTATGACCAAATTTAGGGGGTGGATTTCAACGGGTTAACTAGTCTTAAATAAAAGCACGAATCAAATTGTTTTTTTCTTTTCACAATAAAAATCCAACGCGTTTATGTAAGAAACCCACATTCCGAAAAATCTCACGTGAGATTGGGGGATGGGGGAGGGGGTTGAATAAAATCTCACGACATCTCACCAAGGGGGGAGGGAGGGTCAGAAAATTTAAAAAAATACCTCACGTAATATATGGACGCCCCCTTGTACAGTGGCATTAAGTGCCGTAATATGCACCTCTGCCTACCCCTTCGGGGATAAAAGGTGTGATGTTATGTTGTGTTATTAAAAAGTGGAAATAATATATTTTTGACTGAGGGAATTTACTACCTAATTAATATTAAAACATATTGTAAGTCTTGAACAATAAATTTTAACGATTCTTATCAGTTATTAGGTCAATTAGTACATATTGTGTGTCGACTGGCGACTCAGTCGAGATAGGATACTTCGGAACTCCGCAAACAAGTCCTTGTAAGCCGATAATAGGGTAGAAATTAGGTAACTATTTTCTGCGAACCTGTATGCCCTAGATCCACGCAATTACGCTTATTATCTAATATTTTGTCTAGACATATTAAATATACTAACTTACCGTAAATTTCTCCTTATTAAGCTCTCGATATTGTAGGAATCTTATTTCTTATTGATATTATAAATGCGTCAGTTTGTGTGTATGTTTTTACTAAATACGGCGAAACAGCTGAAAGGACCGGGATGAAATAAGAAAGAAAGAAAGAAATAAAGAATGACTTTATTTCACACGCTAAAAAAACAGGTGACACGTACAGATTTTATACATAAGTTTATATACATCTACTAATGTCCCAAGTCTGTGGTGAAATGGAACCAGTTCAGCATGTGCAAGAAATGTGAAATAGGAGTCAATTATAGTCTGAAATAATACATAGGCTAACATAGCCACACGGAAACGTATTTTTTTCCGATGGTATCTCTCTGCAGACATTCTTGTGAGCAGACGGATCACCTGATCGTAAGCAATTAGTGCCTTTAGCCAAACGCCACTTTAGCACTTGTCTACCGAGAGAGTAGAAAATTAAATGTATGGGGATGACACTGACAAGTGTCAAAATTTACGTTAATATCATCATTCATCATC